AGAGAGAGAGAGAGAGAGAGAGAGAGAGAGAGAGAGAGAGAGAGAGAGAGAGAGAGAGAGAGAGAGAGAGAGAGAGAGAGAGTGCTAAAGTTCTGGAAGCTAGGAGAAGAGTACGACCTTCATAAGTGGTAGAAGTGTCGCGAGAAATGACAATGTGAGAGGCTTGGAAAGCATTGCAAGATCTCCAGGTCTTCTGTAATCACCATGCAAGGCTGAGGACCAGTGACTGGTTGGCAGCTGCAGAGCAGTGCGATATGCATCATTCAGTTATCCATCTCCCCGGCACGAGGGGTCGTCTTATCTCTGCAGTCCATGAGCTGGTCAGCCCTGAGAAGGTCAAGTGGAGAGAGTGATAGGGACAGGGGAGGAGGAGGGGTGACCAGGGGGGAGTCAGATGCACATTCGGGGGAGACAGCAAGAGAAGCCGGTCTGAAAAAATGTGCCCACGACTGGTAAAGAAAGGGTGGGCAGGAGGAGCACGGGGTCGGGGTTATGGGGGGAAGAGTGGCCTGTAGTCGTGGACAAGGGAACTGTCAAGAGGGATGTACAAGTAAGAGGACGGGCGTGTGGACCAGTCTCTTTTATGAAGGGTTGCAATTCAGAGAAAGAGAAAGGGAACCATTCTATCTCAGAATCTGTAATCCTTGGCGGTGCTTAAACCGCCAGTACATGTCATACATTGGCCGCGGGCCCCATTTGGAGGCCGAAATGCGACGCCGGCCGCTGATGTATTTTATCAATGGTGCGTCGGCTCTGACGTTTTCGGAGTAGGTGACAAACAGTACTCCACAAGGCTGGGGGCATGTACTTGGAGGTTAAAGGGGATTTTCTTCCATCCGCAGTAGCTTGAAGATCATTCCATATGCTGAGTATCGACTACCTTATGTATTCCACTACATCTCTCTTAACCTGCGCAAGACCATAAAGAAATTAGTGTCTGTCATACAGGAGCATCTTATTCGCGATTCAGCAAGAAGCTGCAAGCCTAACTGCAGAAAAGAAATTAGCTCATACCTAGGTTTCAATTCAAGCAGCGCGGATCCCCCCAGGTCCACCTTGCCCAACCTCTGGGGTCGTTCTGGTAACCATTCTACCGTTGGAGGGCACTGGTGCAAGATCTGCCATTCTAGCACTTGATGTGAGGCTGGTAAAGTCTTGGCATAGGCAAGAGCTGTTGAAGACATTCTGGGGGGCAAGGGAGGATTTTGTCACCCTATCGGTAAGGGTAGGAAGTGGATGCTGTAG